GCACAGCAGACCTCTCCTGATCCACCTGCTGCTCCTCTCAGCAGCTTGTTCTCCTGTCTGGTAAATCCTCTCACCCTATACCTTCTGGCTTGTACCCCTAGTCTTGTATACATAAAGAAATATTTATAAAAAACTAATGGCCCTGTGGTGTATTCTAAGACAGCCTTATTTTCTTTACCCTCACTGTAAGGAAACATTAACTTTTAGCTTGAGACAAAGCAGTAGGAAGCCTACTGCAGCACAAATAGTAACTGATCAACTAAAACTAAGGCTCTGTGATGTACAGAATTTATGGAAAAGGCAATTTACTGCACAGGACCACAATGAACAAGTACTACTGATCAATTCAGGAGTATCCTGGGGTAGAGCAATCCAGTTACTAAAATCTATCAGAATGACTTTTTTGTGTAGCTATGTATGGCTCAACATTACATGGTCTCTTCTTTTAATATTACAGCCTCTTGTAAGCTCACTCATGTACCAGCTGCAATACAGTAAGCAGAAATTTTGTCTTAGAGATCAAGTGTGGGAGGCCTGAAGTTTAGATTTCAGGCTGGATCTCATGTCCTACTGGACTCAACTCTGGTCTCACTCTAGTAGGCTAAAAGGAGTTAAGTGCATGTGGACTTACAGTAGGTTCCAAAGAAATACTCAGGGTGAGAACAAGATTTTTCAAGGTAAAGCAAATATTTCAGGTCAGCAAAGGCTGTTTTATAGTTAACAAATTTAGGAAGGAAAATGTCAATTTACAATGAGTCCTAAGAGCTGTGAGCAGTGGTACTATCTTGATCCCCAAGACTTTTTCACATAAACATTCCCAACTTACTCCCTTTCAACCTTTAGTTCTCTGCTTGATACTAGTTTCAGTTCTTGTCTTGAAAATTGACACAATACAGCAGTAAATTTTGTCTGGTATTCCCTTTCCCCTTACAACTGTCAATGGTAGTTGTCACTATCACAGGGGCATTGTGATTTGAGTACCTGAATACCTAGGGGAGTTTGTTTCAGCTTCTGCATGGTTTACCAGTTGTCTTTTCATTGCTTAATTTTTGTTGAACTTGTGATTTATAATGGGAGTTTCAATTCACTCCCCATCCCCTGTAATGCTAACAATTTAAACTTCATCCAGAGCAGCAATGTATCCAATGTTTTTCTGCTTCTCTTGTTGGGTGCCCTAAGAAGGTACTGAGTATTCTGGACTGTCCTTTAAGGTGGAATTTGTCTTCTCTGGTCTATAATACAGATACTGTAGTTAAAATTCCTGCAGCCATATAATATGGGTGCTGAGGATAAATTCTTTTTCTAATTTGACAAAACACTAGTAATTTTATGAAGCAGTGTCAGTCTGTTGGTTAATTCAAGGTCACTTAAGCCCACACGAGACCATCACTATTAGAATATTTTGGTTTTGTGTAGCCAAATTAAAAACTCCAGAACCAAACCAAAAAACCAACCCTCAAATGTTTATTTATAAATGAGTTCTTTTTATATCACCCCTTTACAAGTTACTAATGGTTTTATTCCCTAGTCCCAGTGAAAATTACATAGAATTTTCATTCTATTTCATAGAATTTCTAAGTGGGCTCTGAAGTCAAACTTACCTATCAACAGGGAAGGTCAGGGGTAGTATTTTTCTTGACTATTCTATATGAATGACAGTTTACTATGATTAAACAAACGTGAAAAATGACACTTTTAAAAAGCACATCTGAAAAATAAGATACATTTTTAATTAAAAAATGATCATTAAAAACTCAAGGACTACAAATGTAGAAAATATTACTCTAAGTTGAATTTCCACTTGGAAAATCATGCTGTGAATGACAATGTTAGGTAATGATTGAAGGAACCTAAAAATATGGACTAGGCATGAAATTGCTACTTTTCTACATTTACCCAAAATGCATGATTCAAAGTACAAATTCTGTTAATTCTGGATTTTAAGAAAAACTTTACAATAGTATATTACTAGTAATATTTATAGTGATATAATCTTACATAACTTTCCTCATGAGCATCAAATCAATTTCAATCAACTTAAGAATCACAAGTATTTTCTACAAGCATCTTAGAGCCTTTATGCTAACAGAATTACTTATTTTAGTGAAAAACTGAACACATATGACAGGAGACCAATTACTTCCTCTCCATATTCTCATGTATGCCTTTCCCCACTTTGTCATTAAACTATGAAGTGCCTGATAGCCTGTGCAGACTAAACTCACCCTTGACTTGCTGCTGTATTTCGAAACTAAGATTCACTGCCAAGATTTACCATTATGTACTGCTAAAAATGAAAGAAAAAAAAAAACAACTCATTACGTAGTCTTGCAAAATGCATGAACTTGTTACAGCAACTTTTTAAAATTTCATTTATCTGTTCACAACTAGCAAGTTTGGCATATAGAAGGCATGGTTTTGCAGTTTATGGAAGCACCCATTGCTTAACCCCCAGAGAACTTGGTTACCATTCTGAATAAAAATATGGAACAGCACACATACGAGTATTCCCTTGGCAAGTTTACATCCGGTCTCCATGAATTTTTGCACATTCAGTATTCTGATGAGGATCTTTTAATGCCTTTTAACTAGCAACTTAACCCAAGCACACGAATAGCTACGGTTGAGTTCACACGTTTAGCTAAGACATCAAGGTTTACCTGGTCACCAGAACTTCGATATGTACTCCAATTTCAAAGAGGCTAAAATTGGGGGAAAAAAAAACAAACCACAACCAACCATACCCTAGAATTGGTGAAGTATGTTGTGAGGTAATGTGGCAAATGTTATTTAAATACTAACCATGATGGGGGTTAGCTTTGTGTTCCACTCTTTAAATCAAATGGTTTGCCCAAGATTCTACAACTACTAGTTTCAGATTTACTAGAAGAATTCCAGTTCTCCTTACAATTCTTGACATATTAACATTTGAAGTGCTTTGCTGTCAAATATCTTCAGGCTCTTCAAACATGATTAACTTCCAATTAAGTAAGGAATGACTAAGATTTAATTTGTATCACTATTTTCTCTAGTTTTAGTAAAATCTTCACTAATACTCCCAACAGAACATTGTTAAAGCAAGGGACTGAAAATATGAAATAGTATATAACTCTGATGCAGTCTACCTTAAATATTTAAACCTCCCATTTCTGGTTTTATCTCATGGTTTTACTTGAGTAAAATTATGTATTTTTAAACTTCATAGAAATGCTACCTTTTATCTACAGCATAATTACTCTTAAGTTTAAAGGTATAAATTTGCTTTTGGCAATGGCTGACTCTAAGTTGACTATCATTTCTAATTCTCAAGCCAGTTTCTTGCAACATCCAGAAACACATCACAAGTCCAAGTGTTGGGCAATGGGGCTGTAAGAGGAAAAGAAAATTACAAATGACCACTGATGGAAATAGTGACATCATAAATTAAAAATATGAATCTTATTGCTACAGATTGAGTAATGTAGACTTAAATTCATGGGCTGATACAAGAATATACATTAGAACATATTTCTAGGGAAACACCAGGAATAAACCTAGATGAAAAGGTTTTAACAAGGTCAAAAGTTTTAGTTTCTCAGTTTTCCTCCTTGAATACATTAAAATATTTATTATTTACTGTTGCAGACATTACTTTAACACAAATACAATCTAAATTATGGCAGTTTTGCCCAAAGACCAATAAAGTTGGTAGCATAAGCAAATGTACAGAATTGCTAATTTTCTACAATCCTGAGGCACTTCAAATGCTTAGTCTTAAATCTTGGTATATATAAAGCTAATTCTCAAAAAAATCAAGCTGGTTTCCCTTGCTTTATATCTTTCTATGTTTCATAGAACTTCTAACTCATTTCCCCTTTCTCCTACCATTCCTAAAGGGTTTAATTAAAGACAACTTATATAAAAATACTTTTCATCAAGAATATCTGTGCTGTCTACTTTTACCTGGCTGATCTTTTATCTGTTACACTTAACACTTAGGAAGAGATGCTCTTCAAACCCAAAATAAAAGTACTATTAGCCACACCATCAATAAGAGGGGCCTGTTCCTTGTGAACAGACTTTATTTCAGGAGGCTGTGTATTTTACAATTGTTGCCTTTATTCCCAAACACCTTAGAAATAGTAAGTCAACACTATCAAACTTCGTTTTAAAATATTATCTAGTATTTAAACACAAATACCCACTTTCATTAATACCGGAATGATTTTGAGCCAATGAAGGGAAATTAATGTAAACCAAGTTTATTTTGCTTTTTAAGTAGTGTTCTTAAAGCACTACAGCTTGGTAAACAATGTAAATTAGTATAAGTCATCTCAAAAGCCAGAGTTTTGTTTTGTTTTTTAATGAGTTGTTAAAAAGATGCAGGCTATTCTAACAGGATAAATATTTTTAACCATTTCACTTTGAGTTAATGAAAGCTCACAAATGAGCAACACTCCTCATTGAGGAAAACAAAAAGCTGTTGTCGACAAGCGACAGCACACACACACAAAAACAAAAAGAACTGTGTAAAAATAACTAACTGTGTTCCCATATTTTTTGAAGTCGCTTTACAATGGGATGATATGCACATGATCTTGCTGCAAACTTGCCATACAGACTTGTAATACATGTTGTCTAGACAAATAATTCAGTCCAAGAGGTGCTAACTTCAGACAATGCAGCACTATAATCCTTTAAACAACGCAATTTGTTTTACTCATTATCTTTTCTTCTAGACTGAAATACAGGCTAGAAAGAAAATGTCCCCTAATTAAAAATTGGTATTGTTTACAGGAAAAATTGTATAATTTTGCATTAGAATTTACAAGTATATGTTCAAATTGGATTTGCCTCCTCCCCCATCCCAGCCACAAAATGGGCATGAAGTAAAATTTGTAAAAATGCCTTAATTTTTAACTTCATGCAAACTAAATAAAGATGACCAAAACAAAAGCTTAAACAATGGAAGGATATTTCACAGAAAATTTCTTATACAAAAAACACTTAAGAAAAAGGGCCACTAGGTGACATTTTAATTTACAAATTGGCATCATTTTGGTCGACAAATATCCAGATGCAGTTTTCTTCTGCTAACAAGAGTTGCAGAGGAGGAAGGGGGGAGGAAAAAAAAAAAAAAAACCCAACAAAAAAAACCCATCATGACTTCTTATTTTAATCACACATTTCTTCTGGAATTTCATGTGGATTAAGGATGCCAGGAACAGACATCTGAAGTTTGTGTTTCTCTTCCTGAGCCTGTCGAAGGGCTGTTTCTCTTTCTTCCAAAAACAGATCAGATGTATCTTCACCTGCAAACTCCTATTAAAACAAGTAATTGAATGTCAAAATAATAAATTTCAACTTTCAAAGATGACACACCTTACCTTAAGGAAAGGATCTCATCACTACATTGGTGCAAGGGTTGTGCACCACTGTGGAGCCACTGCAGCATGAGTTCATTCCCCAACCAGGGAGGTGACCCACATGGGCACAGCAGGCCCATTGCTCCCCTCAGCAGTGTACTTTGATCATTCGCCTGTTCTGCGCCCCACTCTGTCTCTGGTGAATCCTCTCACCCTCTGCATCTCTGGCCTGTACCCCAGTTCTGTATGAATAAATAAATAAATCTTAAAAAAAAAAAGGTAACAATTTAAGAAATATTTCCAAATCTATTCTCTTCCTAGAATTGACTTAAAGCTTGTCACATTATGTAATCAGTCCTAATCTAAGTAATACTAAAAATCCATTTCTTACATTACAAATAAACTGGTATAATTCCATTAACGCAATAATGAAATAATCTTTACTCTCAATATTCCTGTAACTGTAACACATACCTTTATTTGTACTAGAAAATCCCTAAGATGTTCCTTAAAAGCAGGAATATCCTGATTTAAGCTGAAAAGTCCTGTCACAAAGAGTTTTACTTGAGCACTGCAATCAAAACACAATAAAATAATCATTTTTTTAAACTGAAAAAAAAAAAAAAAAAATATATATATTTTAACATGTAAAAGGTATATTTACTCTTGTAGATGAGGGAATGCAGACTTAAGGAGATTAGCCACATATTCCTGAATAAACATTTGGTTGTTAACTGGATTTCCAGGATTTAGTGGTGTACTTATTTTTCCTTCTTCAACCAAATTAAACATATATGCAAGTATTGATGCATGCATTGTTAAACCTGTTGAAAAGAAGAAAATTATTAACTCTAAGATATAATAAAAACAACAGGAATGTTTAACATTTTTACAGCTTTCACTCTTACCAGCAGTATGTGAGGTGTCCGTCACAACAGAAAAGATATGTTGAAGAATATCACAAAAGTAAGTCTGATAAAAACTCTGAGCGGCAGCTTCTTCTTGTGCAACATTTTGTAAGAGTGTAAAAAGTATCTGTAAGCCTAAAATAAATAGGATACATAAATTTTTAGAGTGGTTTCATTCATGATAGTGTTTCAGCTATTCCAACTATTTTGATTAAGTCTTACTTTTTGGCTAAAGCACTAAAAATTTGACTAAATTATCTTGAATCAGTAATGGAGATACTTATAGACTAAGATCTTCCAGAGCTACAGAGGAACAATAATCTGAGCAAATGAAAACACTGCTGAAGATACTAGTGAAAAACCTTACTAGACACTGAGAAGCAATGCTCTCTCCTACCTTGAATTCTATACCCATCTCCCCATAACTCAATCTTGCCCTATGGATTCACTCTGGAAAAGATGATTAAAACAATTTTTGGAACTTCTGAGACCTATATATGCAATTGGTGTACTCAAACAAAACTCTGACAAACGAAGTAGTATCTACACCTATCTACCACTGCATGTGTACCTGTAACTGTACTGTTTGGATTGATAGGCATAATGAATAAAACGACGTAATTATCTGTGTCTTACCTGTGTCTGCAACGTTCCTCATAGTATGTTTGAAAGCCCAAATAATGGAATCCAAGACAAGTTTAAACTGTGCAGGTGGAATAGCCAGAAATGCTGGGAAACAATGAGAATTGACAGCCTGAAGCAGCAAGAAAAAGTTCGTTCTGTGTTCTGGATATTCTTCAAAGTCCTAAAAATAAAGTGAAAACAAATAGTTTTATGCTTTAAATGAAAACATAAGATACATGGCGCCTCCTAAGTGGTTAAAAAATAAAATTCACATCTCACATAAGACCTTAACTATCATGACTAGACAATTATTAAAATGGAGGGGAGAAAAATATCACCACTAACCACTAAAACCTCACATAATTTTCTAGTAATTCTGAGTCTAATAACACTTTATTTTGTTGATTTTGACCACCAATACAGATGAGGATGTTAGACGCTAGGTAAATTTTATGCTTCCTTATGTTCTTTTTGATTAATATATCAATTTCTTATACAGATATACTGTGGGCTTTTTGTAACTTAAAAATACAGACCTTTCCTTTTAGTTAAACCAAATAAGAAAACTAATTCCTAAAAATTCACTTGTCCCTGGTAAGAAATTTTTTGTAGTAGTAAATTAAAAACATGGTATTTCTCTAACTTAGAGGAACAAATAATTTACCTCAGGGCTTAAAATAACTACAAAGGTATAACTTCACAAACAGTTAAGTTATTCTTATAACACTCTAAGTCAACTTTCTATAGTATAAGTGAAATGTAAATCACATACCTTATTGATCATATTCAACGTGCACTCAAAAACAGCATCAAATATCTGAGGTATTTCAGCTGTTATGTGTCCTCCTAACTTGTTGACAATAATAGCCATAGTACTAAGCACTTCTGGTTCTCTAGCAGCTGGGACATTTCTCTGATAATCAATGAGAACTGCATCCAACAGAGGAGGAACAAAATTTTCAGCTACCTGTTAAAAAAACACTTTAAAGTTTTAATCTAGGCACTTGCTAACTTTTAAATAGCCAAGCCATTGCTGTCTATAAAACTTAGGTTGATCACCAGTTGAAAATGGCAAATCCTGTGTTTTAATTAGTACTTTGTAAAAAACAAAAACAAAATAATAATAATAGAGATATAAACACAGTATAGGCAAATCTAACGATCACCAGAAGAAAACTAGTCTAGAATTAAGTGATTGTCTCTAAGTTATGATGGCAGGAAAAGAATCCCAGGGATACTGTCTATAAAGGGAGTAAATCTAAAAGGAAAAAACTCCTGCTAACCTTGATTCTATTTCCTTAATTCAAGACACTCATATTTTAAAAGAAAATTTATTTTTAATTTATTTATGCATACAAGTACTACAGTATAGGCCAGAGGTGTGGGTGAAGAATTCGTCACAGAAAGAGTGAGGAGCAGAATAGGCAGATCTACACTGCTGAGGGGAGCAGTGGGTGAGACAGGAGAGGTCTGCTATGGCATGTGGGTCACCTCCCTAGCTCAGGATCAAACTCCTGCTGCAGTAGATGGGGATAACTTCATAGTGCTGCACTTTAACCCCTAACACCACTTGGGAGGTCCCAACAGATGTAACTTCTATGCTCTCAATAGATTTTCTATTAAGACCATGTGCAATAATAGGGTCTCCCTGGTGGCCTACGTTCAATCACTGGCCAGGAAGCTGATCCATATATGGTACAGACATCTACTGTCTTGCCCACTGCTCCCCGTAACAGTGTATTTCAGTACATTTGCCTATTCTGCTACCCACTCTGATTCTGGTGAACCCTTACATGAACCCATACCTACCCTTCAGTTCTTCTAAAATAAAGAAATAAAATCTTTCAATAAAGGAATTAAAAAAAAAAAAAGACTTGTACAATAAGTACAACCCATATTTCCTCTGACTAAAGATTTCTAATGTTAGCAATATCAACCCTACTATTCAGTATAATCTTATAAGATTTGATTACTTTAACTAACTACAAAATTTTGAAACTACACATACTTTGGTCTCTTTCAAAAATAAAAATCAGTTTTCATTTCTTTTCTTAACACTAACTGAAATACCCCTTTCTCTACATACTGATTTTGTGCTTTTGAAACACCAGGAATCACTGCTCCAAACTCAATTATCTCAATTGTAAAATAAAAATATACGTTCTTCATTATGGCTTATATGCCTGAAATTTACCCAACTTGTAAAGTTACAAATTTTTTCTTATTCAGCTAAAGTTTAGGCATAATTCTGATCTCTTAAAACATGTACTCACAACCTTTTAATATGTGAGAATTCCACAACAGTCTTATGAGCAAATTTACTAAAATTTATTTCCTTATCAAGTAAAAATACCAAAGCATAATATTTTGTTATGTTTCTAGTCTCAAGAGAATGATATGATACAAAAAAATCTTATTTTCTAGGCTAAGGCTTATGAAGATATGGATTAGTTTCCAGAAACCATTTCTGGAAATGATTTGATATATAAAAATGTACAAACAGAAAGTAGCATCAACTGGAGAAAACAAAATAGTTCAGTATCTCTAACTTACCATCTGTGGATCATTGGACCGGCTAACCCAACCAGATATTAATTTTAAAGTTTCCCTTTTAACTGTTCTCATACTTCTAATCAGTGGTTGTTTTGTAACCATCTCACCTATAAAAAAAAAAATTAAGTGGGATACAACTTGATAACTGAAAATCTACACTGATAATCGACAGTATGTGCTTCAGATACCACTAATTCTTATTTACTACTGAAAATCATACACACAAGTAAACACTGAATTTATTCCAAAAACACTTTCAGCCTATTACTATAGGCTGTAACTAGTCACAAAAATTAAGGTTTTTCTGGAATATGGGAAGGGTAATTTAAATTTTTTTTTAAAAAGATTTATTTAAGCATACAGAACTCCCTGACTGGGGATCAAGCTCATGCTGTTAAAGCTATGCTTTAACCCACTGCGCCACCAGGTAGGGCCCAGGTAATATGATTTTGTAGAGAAAATCTGAATTTTTAACAGTGAGGAACATATCATTCTGTAAGTACTCCAACTCACCATTAGCTTGGATAGCTGCAGAAATATTTTCACTGAGGCACTTGTACACATTAAGCATATCTAAATAAATTCTTCCAAGCTGAATTACAAAGGGGTGTCCAACAGCTTTGCAGGCCCTCACATTTGTTTTTAATATGCTACCAAGCTGCTTGACTGTTTCGGGATCTTTAAGTATATCCACATTCTGTGAAGGAAAAAAAATTCCATTTGTCTTTAACAGAATTATCATTACTAAATATTACTTAAAAAATCACTATCTTCCTTACTCCAACACTATTACACTTTAATATGAAATGGTAAAAACCCATGAAGATCTACACAACCTAACCACAACTAAGAATGGAGTAAAATATCTCCAATTTTCCATAAAAAGAAAAAAAAAATTACAATTTTTAAAAGCACACATAAAAGCAATTATGGATCATATTCAAATCAAAGTTACTTTATTTACTACTTTTGTAGGTAACACTATATTCTGAAATACTAATTTAATACTAATTTAAGAAAAATTAATGTAACTTACTTTCGTTGCTTGTTGGATTATGCTATCCCAAACTTGATTAGGGAGTAGCATATATTTTTCTATCAAATGTTCTTGTACTGTCTGGTCGGTTTGTGCACCAATCATGTAGCCCACAGCTTCATAAAACGTATGAACCTGTATATTTAAAAGGTAGATTTTGCTTTTATATACAACAATGAAAACAATACACAAATAATACATATATTAAAACTGGCATTATTAAAGCAGTAGAACAAACTTCTGGTTAGATTTCTACCTTTGGAAACCTGTAACTAAAGACAACTAAAGGCACTCTCCACTCCTATTAATAACTCTCATTAAAATAACAGCTACTTCCTATGAATAATGTTTAGTGCTTTACATACCTGCTGAGGTTGAAGATCACAAATTATAGTATTAATGTTGTTTAAAATTTCATCAATAAACGGCATTACTTCTCCAACCTGAACTTGAACGAAATGCCTGCGGCATTTTTGAGCTATTTTAATGAAAGTATCACATGCCATGTCCTGGACACCATCATGGGTCTCTAACAAATTAAAACAAAAAAATTTTTCAAGAAAAATTTTCTATTTGTTTCACAAAATAAAACATAAAAAAAGAAGACTTACCATGCATGAATTCAAAAAGCTTGTTAACTACAGTCTTCAAAAATTTCCAATGGGCTCTTAAAAATCTTGGATATTGACCTACTATATACATGATATTTGATGCAATAATGGCTTTATTATCTTTGCCTCTTTTCTGTTCACATAATCCTAACAGATCCTATAAAATACAATATATTTTATAGTCATTTATAATTATAAAACATATATAATGGACTTAGAACATACATTATCACTTGTGTACCTTTATAACAGTAACAAGAAATCGTTTTTCATCCTCTTCATGCATTGCTCCACTAATGGAGCCGATTGCCCAACACAATGTATTCAAATTTTTCCAAGACCACTCAGTACCATTCACTTGATTGTGAAGCTTCTCAGTCATTATTCTTTCTGTATCTACATAATCCAGGTGAGTAAGATAAACTACAAAGGGAGAGAAAGTTCCAGGTGTTTGAAACACAAGACTCAACCACGTTAATAAAAATATAGTTCTTACTAAAATTCAGAGACTAAGTGTATTTAAATTTCCTAAAATTATCCCCACCTCAGAATAGAATTACAAAGGCAAATAATAAACCAGCATATTCATTAACTTACCTAATGTTTCTCTCATATTCTTATATAAATTTATGGAATCAGTATCCTTCATGAATTCCCTTACAACTTCTCCCTGATCATTTTCAACCACCAATACTTCCTCCGGTTTAGCCATACGACTAACCATCAATAAACGAACCTATTCAACAATAAACCAATCAAAAAAAATAGGTTAGATTTTTTAAATCAGTCATATCAAAAATTATAAAGATACTTAATATATTGTATGTATGTAGGGTCTCCCTGGTGGTACAAAAAGGATTAGCATGATCAAGCTATCTACCAGCTACTACAGCACAAGTTCTCCCTGGCTAAGGAGATAATTAATAACCACATGGTACAGCAGACCTCTCCTGTCTTACCTGTTTTTCCTCTCAGCAGTGTATTTCAGTCAATATGCCTATTCTACTAACCACTCTGTCTCTGGTGAATCCTCTCACACCCCTGGTACCTCTGGCCTATACCCCAACTCTTGTATGCATAAGTATTTCCTGAAAGAGATATGTATGTAATGCCAACATACCATACATTATCCTGACAAAGATATGAAAGAATGAACATTAAAAATGTTGACCTTGTACCAATGGTTTTTCATGCCCTCTAAAAAGATGAAAACAAACAAAACCAAAACCATCAGTTAAGCTACCTGTCTCATTCCTAGACTATGAGTTAGTAGTTGGTGGCTGACTTCAGTTGTTATTTTTAAGACTCTCACAAGTGATTCTTGTTACAAGGACTATACCTTTGTAAACAATAGCTCTTTAAATCAATACCCTTATGTTTTAGTTTTTAACACATGTGGGGAAACTGTCAAATCCTCTTTTTTTTGGGTGTTCTTATTTATTTGAGTAGATTAAACAGAATATAAAAATAGTATTTGTGTTTGGTTCTCAAAAATCACATTAAGCAACTTGAAGAACACTTAACCACCCACTTTATCATTACCTTGGATAGCACAGGCAAATACAGCTGTCTCCTAGGAGGAACATCAAAATGCTGACTTCCAGAGAGCAATGGAGAAGCAGATGTAGAGAATGGGCTTTCTCTATAGAGTTCAGCTGCCAAATGATTCCAGTACTCAAGACAAATCTTAAAGATTTCAGTTTCCTCCACTTCTGACACCAACAACATATAATGAAGTGCCTACACAGACCACCAATACAATTAATATAACCCAAAGGCATTATTAATCAGCCTCCAATGTCTATTTGTTAACATTAGTAGGAATTAAAAAACTGTGCAACTATGAGGTTCCAGCACACTTTCAAATAACTTAAAAATTCTCTAAAAGCAAATCAAGGTTTCTTTTGACATGTCCTAGAACATTTTAATAAACATTTGCATAGCAGCTAGTCAATATATCTTTGTCCTGCCAGGGAGGTGACCCATATGGTGGGGTAGAAATGTATCTCAACCATTGCTCCCCTCTGCCATGTATTTCGGTCAATCTGGCTATTCTGCTCAACAGTGACTGGTGAATTCTCTCACCACACCTCCACCTCTGGCCTGTAGCCAAGTTCTTGTATGCATAAATAAGTAACATATATCTTTAAATAAATAAAATAAATAAAAACAGATTAAGGACCTTAAATAGCACTTGAATTCAGTAACAAAAAACAGGTGGAAATTTAAATGACCATCAGCTGATAAGTATCATGTACCACATATCATTCTGCTCACTGTTGGAACACATCTACAACGCTGGTCCTATATATATCATAGGTATGTAGTAAGCTATACCATCTTATAACACTAGCAAAATAACAAGTCCATTTCCAAACTCCCTTCCAACCCCCAACCCTTTGGAAATCAAGGACTGTGTATACATACAAAGTTGTCCTATAATACAGAGTACAAGCAGATGTTATAATATAGGTGGAAGACATGCTTAGGTAAAGAAGCTAGAACCTAGGCCCTTCCTGATGGCAGACGGGTTAAAAAGCAGCTTGTGAAGCTAGCTGCAGCCACTTTAGTGCTGGTTTGATCCCTGGCCTTGGAGGTGAGCCACATAGTGTGGCAGACCTCTCCCCCACCCACCGTTCCCCTCAGCATGTAGGTCGCCAATCTGCCTGTTCTGCTCCCCACACAGTCTCTAACGAAGCCTCTCCCCGCCCCTGCACCTGTGGCCTGTACCTCAGCTCTGTAAACATAAATAAATAAATAAATCTTTAAGTAACAGAAAGAAGCTAGTAAAAAGATGATATACAGGAAAGGTACCAAAACAGGCTAACCCATAGACAATTCATGGCTGGGAGGAAGAGGGTAGAAATCAAAGAATTTTTTTTGGGGGGGGGGGGAAGGGAAGAGATTCCTCTGAGGCTAATGATAGTATTTTGGAATAGAGTGTTTGACAACACAGAATTAACCAAATGTCACTGAAATTACACTTTGGAAAATGTTTTGGGAATATTCCTACTAGAAATGATGTGTTGATATCCTTTAGGATTTGATTGCAAATTATGGCCTATAAAGTCTCAGCACTATCTAGCTATCACCAGCCACTGAAATACACATGAATTCAATTGTCAGGCAGGGAGCTAACTCACATGGTGAAGTAGACCTCTCCTGTCTTGCTCACTGCTCCCCTCAGCAGTGTTATTTCAGCAAACCTGTCTGTTCTGTTCCCCACTGTCTTTGGTGAATACTCTCACCCACTGCACTTCTTGCCTACATTCCAGTTCTTGTATGCATAAATAAATCTTAAAAAAAAAAAAAAAATTTAAGGCCTGCAATAATGAACAATCAGGAAATTTGGCTTCTAACTATAATTTAGTACTAATAAGAAATGTATAAGGAACATAAGTAATAGGTAAAAAGATATTTCAAGATTTACATTTTACAACAAAGGTACAGTTTTAAGTTTTTATTATGTACAAGAATTTCAAGGGAAAGGCTTCAAAAAGCCTACCTCCATGAGTGTCTCCCTGAGATTTAATCTTTTTTCTATAAGTTGACCATGTTCCTTAAGAAAGGTGCAGAGAAACAAACTGAGATTTTGAATGAAGTTTTGTTCATCATCTTTTCCATTTGAGTATGCAAGTCGAATATTAGTATTTAAAGGAAGCATCTGCAAATTAAAAATGGACAATTATTAGCCTGCATTTTTAAACCAAGATAAGATACATTTCATCCTAATGATCATTATTCTTCTGTAAATAGTGGGCTATTTCTGTTTTTATGTATTTGAGTTCTAGATTTGATTGCTTTTAAAAAATGTTCCCCTCCTCAGTGTTGTAAAAACATCCAAGGTATTCAGTTGACAAGCATGTAGTAATTACTCTCTGAAATAAAATACATACCTAACTGAACTAGAACTGGGTAATCCCTTCCGTAAATACGTAAGGTCTGAAGCAAAACAGTCTTGGGTTTCCAAGTTCTAAATTTTGTAAAATTAAGTTAGCATGGTACACCCCAAACTTTTATTTCAAGGAATTTTCCTTGAAATTTTCCTTAAAAGCTTAATGAAGCAAGTAAACAATCACATTACAGTCAACTTACTATGACCTGATGAAATGGTTTAACTCCAATACAATTTTTTTTTTAGGTATTAATACTGTTCAGTTTCCAAGAGTATTGTTAAAACAGTTACCTGTTTTAACTGCATCATTGTCAGTGTAAATAGTGTCACAAATTGTTCCTCATATTGGCTTACACTCACACCAGCAATCTCAGTGAGGCACTTCAGAGAGACATTTCGAAACATGGGAACATTTAGGAACTATTAAAAAAAAAATAAAAAGGGAAGCATAAAAATAAATGGCTCGAAGAATGTCATTTAAAATTATTTTTAAAAAGGATCTACTTATCAGAAACATAGAAAAAGAGCTATAGGATCAATACGTTTTATCCTGCCTATGTAATTATAAAAAAATTCTATTATCTACTGACAGGTAGTAAATGCTTTAAAAAGCAAATTACGCTTTCTCTTGATAAAACTTTCAGATATCTGAAAAACAAAGTTGTTTTGAAAACTTTTTCAGGACTACATGACTTTTAAGCATACCACATTTCATAGTCTCAGATAATACTTAGGATTTTAGTATGGGCAATCCAGATTTTAGTATGGGCAATCCATTGAGATTAATGGAGATGTGGGAAAATAGACTGCCATATGCTATTGTTTAGAATGTATACAAACAGAGGGCCCTTCCTGATGGTGCAACAGGTTAAAGCACAGCACTATGAAGCTATCCACAGCCACTTAAGTGGCAAGCAAACTGACCTACATGGCGCAGCAAGACTTCTCCCATCTTGTGCGCTGCTCCCCTCAGGTGGATCCACCTGTTCTGCCCCTTACTCTGTCTTTGGTGAATCCTCTTCCCCTTCCCCTTCCAGCCTAGTTCTCATAGGCCTAAATAAATAAAAATAACTCTTAAAAAGATATACACACATATATATATGAGATAATGCTTTAAAATTACCTGGAATAACAGATTTTCCACCATACAAGAACATCTTTTTCAGTTAGTTCATTGTGTCTCAAATGTTATAGTTGTTCATGTGGAGTTAGTGAGATTATACAATACAAGTTAAACAAGCATACGATCTTTACATTTTTATAGATCTGATATGTATTCACCATACCTTATAAATTAATGTACTGATTAACTTGGTCTCAAAAATATAGCCCAGTGGAATCCAGTTTAGAAATCTGAGCAATGTTTCCAAAGTTGCATGTACAAGTGGAGCATTTTGGGAATTTTCCTGTAACAAAAACACCTTATAAGTAATTTTCCTATAATAAATTATTGTTTTAAAAAGATATTAAAGGGTCTTACCATTACAAACTGACACAGCTGAAAAATCTGTGAGAACTCATTGCACATGCTAAAAAAAAAAACAAAACAAAAAGCCACCAATTTAGAAGACACATGATACCATAATACACACTAATGAAAACTTCATTAAATACTCCAGTGTAGGCCCTCCCTGATGGTACAGCGGGTTAAAGCACAGCACTAAGACGCTAAAGCCGTTTCTGCATGAGTTCGATTCCCGCCTGCCCCAGAGGTGACCACATAGCGTGGCAGACCTCTCCTGACCAGCCCGCTGCTCCCCTCAGCAGTGTACTTTGTCAATCTGCCTGTTCTGCTCCCCACTCTGTCTCTGGTGAAGCCTCTCGCCGACCTTGAGATTCTGGCCTGTACCCCAGTTCTGTATGCATAAATAAATAAATCTTAACAAACAACAACAAAAAACCCCAACTCCAGTGTAGTGTAAACACAAATAATCCTAATATCATGAACAGCAACAAAGTTATTAAAAATAAACAGTGGTATCACCACTGTTAAAAGTCAACTATAAATACTGCTTTAAGAGTACATAATTTTGATTCTTGAAGGTTTGGTATTTTTGGCATCCTTACTCAAACTGAATTTTAGTATCAGTTTTAAGATATTTAAGACTCTCTACATAAAGTGATATAAATATGTACATATTTTACAAATGCTAGAATGTACTTATACATCAAACCAATGGGAGTAAAACAGTAAATTCTGAAGCTAACTTGAAATAAATGAAGGCAAAATATATAATAATATAATAAATTAAACAAATTTTAATTACTAAGGATAAGAAATATTAGTGTGGTATGTTCCTACTGTCTTCAATAAGAGATATGGTAATAAGCAGTACTAGTTAAGAATTGCAATTATGAAAAGACCTCAAATAGCCAAAACCCTCATGTCTAAGAAAAAACAAATGCAGGCATTACAATCCCAAACTTCAAGCTATAGTACAAAGCCATAATAATCAAAACTGCATGGTACTGGAATAAGAATAGACATACAGACCAGTGGATTTGAATAGAAAACCCAGATATAAACCCACAAATTTATGGACAGCTCATTTTTGACAAAGGAGCAAAGAAGATACAATGGAACAAAGAAAGTTTGTTCAGCAAATGGTGCTGGGAAAACTGGGAAGCTGCATGCAAAAAAAAAAACTAGATTACTGCCTCACTCCATTCACAAAAATCAACTCGAAGTGGATTAAAGACCCAGACATAAAAACGGAAACCATAAAATACCTAGAAGCAAAGATGGGCCAAACACTACATACACAACATACGTTTCAGCGACATCTTTAAAGATAGAGCACCCAATGCCACAATAGTGAAGGCAAAGATAAATAGATGGGACTACAAGTTAAAGAGCTTCTGTACAGCAAAAGAGACATTACAAAAAGCAAACAGACAGTCCACTAATTGGGAAAACATTTTCTCACACAAAAGTAGTGATAAAGGACCGATCACAAAAATATACGGAGAACTGATGAAATTCAACAAAAATAAACAACCCCATCAAAAAATGGGCAGAAGAGCTAAAAAGACACTTCTCCAAAGAGGAAATGCAGATGGCCAACAAGCATATGAAAAAATGTTCAACATCACTTGTAGTAAGGATCGATGCAAATTAAAACCACAATGAGATACCACCTCACCCCAGTGAGAATGGCACATCTTCAAACAACTAGCAACAACAAATGTTGGTGAGGATGTGGAGAAAAAGGAACTCTCCTGCACTGTTGGTGGGAATGCAAACTAGTACAACCATTATGGAAAATTGCTTGGAGGTTCCTCAAACTGCTTAACATGGAGCTTCCCCATGACCCAGCAATCCCACTCCTAGGTATCTACCCAAAAGACACAAAAACACTGATTGAAAAAGATACCTGCACCCCCATGTTTATTGCTGCTTTATTTACAATTGGAAAAACATGGAAGCAGCCCAAATGCCCAAAAGTAGATGACTGGATTAAAAATATGTGGTACGTATACACAATGGGATATTACTCAGCAACCAAAAAAGAGAAACACATGTCTTTTGCAGCAACTTAGATGGAGCTGGAAAAGATCATGCTTAAGTGAGATAAGCCAGAAAGAGAAAGAAAAATACCGGATGGTTTCACTCATAGCAGGAGTATAATGGACCAGGCGAGAGAATAATAATGAACAATCATATACCAGAAACATTTTGTGGGGGTGGAGTGGGGAATGGGATCAAAAACGGGGGTGAGGGGGGAGTGCACGGGACTATGGTGATGGCACACGGGTGACTCGGTGATGGGAAACCCATAGGGATTACAACTGAGATAAAAAAAAAAAAAGTACAAAATGATGTAAAAAAATAAACTGTTGTATTATTAAATAATAATTTGAAAATCCAAAAAAAAAAAAAAAAATTGCAGTTATGTTGGACAGAAGTTACTTCCTGCAAACTAACTAGTCTCCATATAAGACTGATCCCTAAAAGGTTTCGATGGACTCTCAACACATATTCCTCCTACATATGCTGTATGACATTATTTTCTTGTAACACAAGTATGACATCTCATCTTTAATACAATAAGTACTTTCAAGCCTCCGGAGTTAGAATATCAAGTCCACTTTAAAATTTAAACCTCCACTTAAAAACTAGAAATAATTTTATGTATCAAAACCTGCAGTACCTTAAAACATTTACAAGCTACTTCAAATCTCTTCATAAAATTTGAAGAAATACTTCTAAAATAATTACTTACCTGTCTTTTAAATGCTTAGCTTTAACTTGAGTTATCTGTCCACTAGAGAAATCAAATACTTCTTCACTCAAGAGTTTGAGAATCACCATATTATTCTGACAGAGACTTTCACTGGTTCTACTTGCTCCAACAATGTCACTAATAAATGTTGGCCAGTGTTTAGGCCATTCTTGTTTCAGTATCTAAAATTAAATATAAAACATCATTTTCATTTCATTTGTTAAACTTCAAAGAAAATGGATAATGCTAAAAGCAGCACAAAATAAGCACAGTTTTAATTTTCTACTTCATTAAGACAGGAAGTACATTATTGTCTACAGAATATACAAATGTTTTCAAAACCCATCAATTAAAAGAAAAATCCAAACCCTCCCTGATGGTACAAAAGGTTAAAAGCAAAGCACTATGAATTTAAGTACAACTGCCTGTTCTGTTCCCCACACTGACTCTGGTGAATCCTCTCCTCCCCTGCACCTCTGGCTTACACCCCAGTTCTTGTATGAATGAATACATGAATCTTAAATAAAAATTTTTTAACAATCATTTTCTTGCACACCAATAGCTGTAAGAAAGATCTTCCTACATAAAAACTAGATGACTATGACATTTCTAATGCCAGCCTACAGAAAGTTTGAGGAGATACAGTATAGCTGTATCAAGAAGATAAATTCAAAGACAATGTAAATTGAAAGGCAATGACTTGTGAATTAAGACTACAATAATCATGAAAAGGAAAATATTAGACAGCAAAATATCAGACTAAAGAAAAAATGTTTAACATCCAATTTACTGTAGCCATAGAGATGATGGGTACAAAGTCTTCTAACTGTAGCATTTAAATTCTGGGGAGAAAAACAGGTAATAAAGTAATGGCTTACCTGAACAAGAATCATATTTAACTTTCCGATATACACCTTTTCCTTCTAAGGAAAGAAAAAAGTTTAGATTAAACAAAGAGCTTTTATAATGGGTATACATACGGCCTCCCAGGTGAAGTGTCACGCTGTCACCAATATGGCCAGCATTTGATCCATAGCCAAATAGTTTCCCCACATATGGAACTGGACACCTCTCCCATCTTGCCCACCATCCCCCTTCCTTAACAGTGAATTTCAGTCAACCCACTGTTTTTGTTGCTCATTCTGCCTCTGGTGAATCCTCTTAGCCACACAACTCTGACTTATACCCCAGCTCTATGCATCAATAAGTAATTTTTATAAATGTGCACTAATACAAACAAAAAATATAGCTCTTCCACCAAGAAAAATGATGGCAGATATGTGTGTGTACATTGTGATAAAAATATAAGCTGCAGTTTCAGTATTTAAACAACTTTACAGCCAAAATAATCTTCCCAAGTCCTTACCTCTACACATGTTGGGTCAGATGACGTCTTGATGATGAGGCCAACAACGTATTTTTTAATCCCTATTAAAAAAATTAACACTTTTATGACATGTTAATAATAAATCTTCAGAAACAAAAAGACTGCAGAGGGTAAAACAGAATAGATTGCAATGTTCACAGGTCTAAAAAAATGCATTAATTTTTGTCACACTGTTCACTAAGTTTTTAATTTTTTTTGGTTAACTTCCTTCAATTTAAAAATTAAAACAACCCAACATGTTCATTTAAATAAACATATACCTTAACTTTTCCAGATTAAAACTACAAAAACACCAGAAAATGTAACTAGTTAAGCATCATAAATAAAAAGCTTATGTAAAATTTTTAAAGGTCAGGCGTTATCCTTTCAATTTTTTGTTGAGAAAGGATCTGCTAAGATGTTTACCCATTAGGCCCTCCCTGATGCAGCACTATGAAACAACCTAAAACCACTGCAACACATGATTTCCATCCCTGGCCAGAGAAGTGACCCACACGGAAGCGCATGCCTCTCCTAACCCACCTGCTGCTCCCCTCAGCAGTGTATTTCAGTCAGTATCTCTGTTCTACTCCCCACACTCTGTGAATCCTCTCACCCCCACAAATCTATGGCCTGTATCCCAGTTCTTGTATGCATAAATCTTAAAACAAAACAAAACAAAACAAAAAACTCACCATTAAGAACTACCTGTATATACAACCAACTTGAAAACAAAATGGTTTTTGTTGTAAAGATACTTTAATATACCTATCTCACAAGGTAAAAAGTAGTAAACTCACTTTTCCTTTGTAGGATTACTATCTTCACAGGTTTAAAAAAAATTTGTTAATTATTATAAAATAAGCCAATTTCCCTAATGTCTGAAGTAAAAACAAAACAATCTCTAATGAAATAGTAATAACTTTTTGATCATGAAAGAACTATTAGTACAATAATGGCACGTAACCTGGGTTATTAATGGCATTTTTCAAAGTTTAAGAAACTACCTGCCAACACCAAAATTTTTTTTAACTTAATGTATTTTATATCATGCTTCATCATTTTGTACATTTTTTCATCTTGGTTGTAGTCCCTGTGGGACTTCCCATCACCAATTCACCCATGTGCCATCATTGTAGTCTCTTCCCACCCCAGTTTTGATCCTATTTCCCTCTCCAGCCTGTAGAGTGTCTCCAGTTTATAGCTGTGTGTTGATTTTCATTTTTATTTTATTACAATTGCTTCCCTGCCCACCCCCTCTCCCCCAATCCCTTATACCCCCATGGGTAAAGCCATCTGGTATTTTGCTTTTTCTTTCTGGCTACATTTCTTCACTGGTTGTTACAAACAACATATTAAATGGTGAAACATTAATAAAGGTTCACAACTACTTAACTAAGATACATAAGAAAAAACTCAGTTGTTCTATATGAGGCAAAACCAGTCTTTTACAATGAAATTCACTAATGATAGCTAAAACACGTGAGAGCAAACCTTTCAGGAAAAATGTACTATCTGTAGTCTCAAATCGTCTCTAAGATTATTCATGTATTTAAAAGTGAAAAACAATAATTTTGAAATCACAAAACCAGTAGGCATTATAAACAAATAAAAAGGTAATAAACATATTAGCACCATCGATCCCCAGGTTTCATGTGAGAGGCACACAACACTTGTATGGTATTCTTGCCAAAATTTGAAACCTCAGTTAAACCATGAGAAAACAAATGTAACAACACATAAAAATGACCGAATGGCCCTCCCTGGTGGCGCAGCGGGTTAAAGCACAGCACTGAGAATCTAAAGCCGCTTCCTCATGAGTTCAATTCCCGCCTGCTCCGGAGGTGACCACATGGCATGGCAGACCTCTCCTGACCCCCCCGCTGCTCCCTCAGCAGTGTACTTCGTCCATCTGCCTATTCTGTTCCCCACTCTGTCTCTGGTGAAGCCTCTCACCGCCCCTGAGCCTCTGGCCTGCATCCCAGTTCTGTATGCACAAATAAATAAATCTTCAAAAAAAAAAAAAAAGATCAGAACTTATGGAAAGTATCAAGTCCTTAAATAGGCCTGTCATAAAATATAATTAAGAATATTAGAGAGGAAATTAGTGAAATCTGATTTATAGCCAACATTACAGTTAATACTGAACCAATGCAATTTTTTTGGTATTAAAAGTCGTACTGTGGGGGCCCTCCCTTGTAGCGCAGCAGGTTAAAGCACAGCACTAAGAAACTTAAAGCCAATTCAGCATGAGTTTGATCCCCACCCCAGAGGTGATCCACATGGCATGGCAGACCTCTCCTGACCCTCCCGCTGCTCCCCTCAGCAGTGTACTTCCTCAGTCGGCCTGTTCTGCTGCTCCCCACGCTGTCTCTGGTGAATCCCCTCACTGCCCCTGCACCTCTGGCCTATACCCCAGATATGTATGAATTAATAAATAAACCTTAAAAAAAAAAAGTTGTACTACAGTATATTATTTAGTAATAAAAAAGTTATACTATGGTCAAGTTAAAGAGCTTCTTTACAGCGAAAAAGACATTACAAAAAACAGACATCTCACTGATGGGGAAAAAAACTTTGCCATGCAGTACTAGTAATAAAGGATTGATCACAAAGATATACAAAGAACTGATGAACCTCAAACAAAAATAAACAACTCCATCAGGAAATGGGCAGAAGAGCTAAAAAGACACTTGTCTAAAGACAAAAAGGGTAAGGCCTACAGGCATATGAAAAAATGGTCAACACTTGTAATGAGAGAGATGCAAATTAAAGCCACAATAGATAACACCTCACATCAGTGAGAATGGCACATCTTCAAACATCTAGCAACAACAAATGTTGGCAAGGATGTGGAGAAAAAGGAACTCTCCTGCACTGCTGGTGGGAATGCAAACTAGTACAACCACTGTGGAAAGCTGTTTGAAGGTTTCTTTAACTGCTAAAAATGGAGCATCCATATGACCCGGCAATCCCACTCCTAGCTATCTACCCAAAAGACACAAAAACACTGATTAAAAGACACCCCCTTGTTTATTGCTGCTTTATTGACAATAGGAAGACTGGAATCAACTGAAATGCCCAAATGTAGACTATTGGATTTAAAAGATGCAGTACACAATTATAAAAATAAAGAGTTTTGCAAAGATATAAAACAAAAGTTTTATTATGGTTATGCAAGTTCTGAAATGACAAACTAGAAGGCGTAAGTGTATTCTGTACATTTCTGTAGAAATGATCTCAAAATACTAAGTGGCTCTGTAAACATAACCACAAAAATCAGGCCTGATCTGGTAAGATTAAAAAAAGGGGAGGGAAGGCCCTCCCTGGTGGTGCAGCGGGTAAAGCACAGCACTAAGAGACTACAGCTACTACAGCATAAGTTCGATCCCCGCCTGCCCAGGAGGTGACTACATGGCGTGGCGGACCTCTCCTGACCCACCCGCTGCTCCTCTCAGCAGTGTACTTCA